GTATTTTCGTATGCTTGTAAAAAGTGATATTTTTTATACTGTTTTTGTTTCGAGTTAATTATTTTTATTTCTAAAGAATATATTATATCAATAGAATAAACATGATGTGTTTTTTTCTTTTCTCACGGATGCCAAATTTGTAATTTTTCTTTTCTTAAATCAACAGCACAGTGTCCAGTGGGAACATATCTTGTTGACTTCGAGTGTATAAATTGCGAAATTGGATCGTATCAACCTTTGACTGGACAGACTGAGTGCTTTTCTTGTCCATCCGGGAATACCACAGCCACATTTGGATCTTCGGATATATCTGAATGTTCTGGTAGTTAATTTCTAATTTTAAAGAATAATACAAATATGTTATTTACATCATTAATCCATTTACAAATGGAATATACATGAAATAAGAACTATGCAAAATATACATAAATATAAATATGATGTAAGCTGTCACACTAACACTGTGCTATATTAATATGCATAAAGCCTCTGACGCTGATCACGAAACAATATGGATTCAAAGTGAGTTATCGCTTAATAAAACACTTACTGACTTTGTTATTCTATAAAAGACAAGAGTCATACTAGTTGCAAAAGTTATGATGAGGAAAAGTTCCTTGTTTAGATTGCATATAAATGGTGTTTACAATGTACAACATGCGTCAAATCTATTTTATCAATATCTTATAAACCTAATGGCAAAAACAGATTTGTAGGAAGTCTTAGTCCAAAAAAGTTTTTATTCTTAATTACAGTGAAAATATCAAATGAAACGGATTCTCATCATGATGATGACAGTGATGACGACAAAAAACAAGTCGACACGGACAATTACACAAGTAAATGCAATATTTGATTCATTTTATTTTTATTATAATGTGTAGTGAAAAAGTTTTTTTTTGTAAATAGCCTCCAATATATTGCATTAATTAATGTTTTAGTTCAACAGTTTTCGTCGTCTTGAATATATACATATATTTGATTATTACATCTTTTCCCGTAAATTCTGAAACTTTAATAAATGGCAAGTTAACTTGAACAGTAAAAGGGAATGCAGCGTCACAAATATATTTATTTGCATTCTTTCACTCACGTTGAAATACTGAATAAGAGTTACCTAGATTTTATCAAATTTCTTTAAAAAAACGTATTTTTTATCAAATATGAGCATAGTATATATTTAAATTGACTGATCTTATCTATCTAACGTGAAACAAAGAAATATCCTCTATATTTTATTATAATCTTTTTTTTCATTAAAACATGTTAAAACTGATAAATTAAAAGATAAGAATACATAAACATACTATACTATTCAATATGATTTATAGTAATACCTTTAACATATTTACTGTATGTAATGTCTTTAAAAAACTAATTCTAAACATGAACTATTTTTGAACATTTTTTAGTTATTTCGGTCTGAAAAAAATATGACAGTTTTTAATTTCAAATTATTATGATTTAAATATATAGAAATATCTTTTGCTTTTAAACTTTGTTTTTTTTGCAGCTGTTACTATTATTGTCGTCACCTGTGTAGTTGTTGTTTTAGTAGTACTTATCGTGGGCAGCTCTTGTCTGAGGAAACACCTTAAAAAGGTTGGTATTTTTTATGTTTTTAGTGAATTGTTTCTTGTTATTATCAAATAATGATCAGAGTAAAGATGTGCATAGATTAAATATACTGGATATGATACCATTGTATCATAGACACAAAAATTCAACATTGTAAGAATTCTTATATTGACTCACATTGTTAAGATGTAACAGCATGAAATTGAATATTAAATGGTCAGTAATCGTCCATTTTTGTTTGTTTGGATTGTCATTGAAAGAATATCAAAAGTTTTGTTTTATATTCTTAAATATATTTTTAAAATGTTTTAGTTTTAGCCAACTGATTTACAATAAGGACAGTTATGACGATATATAGTGAAAATACAGTTGTACTTCTTTGTGCCATTAATTTTCAAATGTCACAAATCAGGTGTTTTTGGAACCTGTATATATTTGTTATTATAAAGTTGAGAAGTCGCCATATGACCAAAAATAAATGAAACATGTTAAATGAAACGATGATTATTGGCGACGCGGTGAGCGGCGGCGTCTTTTATGGAATGCTTCATTTTTAAGCACATGGTAGGAGCTGTTATTATAAGCAGGTAATGTCCTGTTGTGTTAATATTTAATTATTAAACCTTTCTGACTAACATCTTAGCTTTGATCCGTTCAAAAGCATAATAAGATCGACTGGTATGTAAACACGCTTAATCTATATTTTATCAGGAAACGGTGCATGACCTATGAAGTTTCAGGGAAGATCTCAGACGTAGGTACATGTATGATTCGCTCACTGTCTAGTCAATCCAACGATTGTTACGACACACATTCGGACGCTATTCAGTGAATGAAAGGATTTTGACAGCCATTAATGACAACGTTATCTAAATTCTATTGATGCATTTAGTTTTCGACGAAAGAACGAACACGTCCTTATAATAGTATTGACTTACTAAATTCATTTAAAATATTTTGCAACAAGTATATAATGTGTCTCATTTTAACAGCGTTTTATGTTCGATTATGGAAAGTTTGGATTGGACAAAATCAAAAAGAAATCACAACAATTTTCTTTTCAATAATTTAAGAACAAAATTCAAAATATAATATAGTTAATAATATAGATAATTATATACATGTAGAAGATAACAGATATGAAAATAGGCATGAGTACATCTGCTTGATCATAATAAGTTTCATTTAAAAAATTGTTTTTGTTTTTTTTTACCATTTATTTAACAGGTTCAGTTAAGACATTGGCTTTTAATTTGTTCACAATTCATAAGTACAGTTTCAGTAAACAGATTGTTTTAAGATGATTTTTTTTGTTCATAATAACAGTTCACGTAGGTGATTGTGTTTTAATCTTGTTCATAATAACAGTTTCACTTAGTTGATTGTTTTTTTTTTGTTCATAATAACAGTTTCACTTAGGTGATTGTTTATTTTCTTGTTCGTACTTACAGTTTCACGTAGGTAATTGTGTTTTTTTCTTGTTCATAATAACAGTTTCACTAAGGTGATTGTTTTTTTTTTCTTGTTCAACATTCATAATAATAGTTTCAGTTAAGTGATTGTTTACTTGTTTTTCTTTTTCAAAATGTTTTCTTGTGGCTTTTATGTGTCAGCATAAATTATATTAAACTGTTGTACTAGGTGACGGATGAAAATAAATTTTGGAAGTAACGTTGATTTTAAAACATTTGCCTGCTTAGAGCAAGTACGATAAGTTGATTTAAAGGGATAGTAATAAATGAAAATTGATGCACAATAAATAACTAAATTTTGTAAAATCCCACTGGAAATAATTTCAACTTCTAATATAGATGTTTGCTAGATTATGTTGGCAATTTATATTTGCTTTTTAATACAAAGAAAATGTGGAAATGAGCTGTGAACATTTGATACGCGCCCGCTTAATTAAAACAAGTAGAAGCTTCTGGAATTGGAGCATCTTTTCTGTATCTGTATCTTGCACTATCCTCCAAAAATCTTAAATGACTAATACCCGTTTGGAGGACTCGCCCATATGGACAACCGTTGGCCAGTATAAATTAACTCAAATACGCACACAGTCTGTGCATTCCGTATCACAGGTCGCGATATTGTCCTGTACAATCACGTGATACCGGAAAAACATCCAGGATGAAAGAATTTTTTTGTAGTATAATGAAAGAAGGTTTCTCTCGTTGGCGGAAAAGCAAATTGTTTTATTTTCAGATCAAGAATGTTAAAATATGAACATTTTGATTTAATTTCATCTTCTTTAAACTATATAATGTTTTAAGGAGAGATTTGAAAAATTAGTAGGGCGGTAGTTTTTCTATTATCTGAAGGCCTGCTTTTTAATATAATCAGTATATAATATTTGTAGATTTGAGCTTGTTTACCTCTTAAATAGAATAAGTATACCATTTCAGCGTGTTTACCTCTTTAATGGAATTAGAATATATTACATTTAAATATAATGTTTCAGCTTGTTTACTTCTTTATTGAAATAAGAAAACATTGCTTTTAGATATATTTTTCAGCTTGTTTACTGCTTTAATGGAATTAGAATATACTAGTATTAATTTTAGATATTATGTTTTAAGCTTGTTTACATCTATTCAACAATAAGAATATATTACTGTTCGATATACTTAGTAGTGTTTTAGCTTGTTTACAATTTATTGTATATAAATAGAACTATAAGATGTAGATTCCTTTAAAAATTTCGTATTAAATATGTCGAGCTTAATGTATATTGTATTGCTTTATTAAAATTCAGATCAGAACTACTGTCTTGTGTTTTCTTTGTCAGACTGGGTTTAAAAAAACAATATACTGGACATCTTGGTTATAAGAGTTAATTTTCTTAACTCCTATTACTTCAATTGTTCTTCATATAATTCAAACTTATGTATGAAGACATTATTGAAGATCAGATTAAGGGTGAAGATAATAGATCATTTTTTGCCGTCTGCTTACGCATTTATTGTATGAAAATTTTTTGAAAGCAGAATCGGAAAGCTTTCTCCGGACCGGTTAAATCACAAAGTACATAATTGCTCTGTAAAGCACTTTCATTAAGACATCTCATCAGACTAAGAGTTTAATTTGAGACAGACCATCAGGATGAAGGCCAATGCTTGTGACACTAAGATATGTACGGCGAATTATGTCCGAGTAGATTTCTGTTCATATAACAATTTCACATTTATTGGCATTATACTCGAAATGTCAAAGGCTTATATATAACAGAATAATAATACATTATTATGTTTTAGTCCATGTTTTGTTAACCACACAAAAAATGAACTATCTGCTACAGATTGCGAACCTGCAGAAATCAAACCATATGATTATGGTCGATCAATATGAAGTTCATTTATATGTAATACAAATGATAAGATGTTTATTCGTTTTGTTTAAATTGTTTTATATAATAATAATAATAATAATGATAATATTAATAATAATAATAATAATGATAGTAATAATAATAATAATAATAATAGCAAGACATGTCGAACGACATATAAGCCCCCCTTTCTAGCCCTTGACTTACTTATTTGGTAATTTTGTTATAGAAACTGGCCATAAATGGGTACATGGAAGTGTTAAATTATGGAAAAAAGAAAAATAATGAAGACTTTGTGATAAATAGTTTTCAAGATAATGAGACATCTAAGGCCCCTGTGACCTAAGACTTTGATTTAGTGACCCAAAATCAACAGGGATTATCTAATAGTTATGACCAATCAATATTAGAAATATGAAAATAATTGTGATAAATAGCTTTCAAGATAATGAGCGGAAACAATACTAACATTCAAGAACCTTGTGACCTTGACCTTTATACTTGTGACCCCTAAATCAATAGGGTCACTTACTAGTTATGACCAATCAGTATGTGAAATATGAACACTGTGATCAAAAGTCTTCAAGATAATATGCGGAAACTATTCTGAAACTTAAGGCCGCTGTGACCTTGACCTATGATATAGGGACCCCAAAAGCAATACTGATCCTCTGTCGGTTATGACCAATCACAATGTGAAATAGGAAGATTTTGTGATAATTATCTTTCAAGATAATGAGCTGAAATCATACTACCATTCGAAGGCCCTGTGACCCTGACCTTTGACCTGGTGACCCCAACATTAATAGGGGGTATTTACTAGTTATGACTAACCAATATGTGAAACATGAAGAAAGTGTGATAAATAGTAACCAAGATAATAAGCAGAAATCATATTACTATTTCGGCCCCTGTGACCTTGTCCTTTGACATTGTGACAAAAAATGGGTCATCTACCTGATAAGACCAATCAACGTGTGAAAAATGAAGACTTTGAGATGAATTGTCACCAAGACAATAAGTGTAAACCATTCTGACATTTTAAACCCCTGTGACCTTGACATTTGACCTAGTGACCCAAAATCAAAAGGAGTCATCTACTAGTTATGACCAATCAATATGTGAAATATGAAAACTTGGAGATTAATAATAATCAAATGTAATATGTGGAAATCATATTACCATTCAATGCCCTGTGACCTTTGCTTTTAACCTAATGACCCAAAAGTCAAATGTCAAAATCAACTAGTTATGTCAAATCAAGATGTGAAATATCAGACTTTGTGATAAATACTTTTCAAGATAATCAGCGGAAACCATTCTGACTTTTAAGCCCCCCTGTGACCTTGACCTTTGACCTTGTGACTTTAAAATCAATATTGGTCATTTACTAGTTATGGCCAATCACTATGTGAAATATGACGACTTTGTGTTGAATACTTTTCAAGATAATCAGCGGAAACCATTTTGACATTTAAAGCCCCTGTGACTTTACCTTTGACCTTGTGACCCAAAAATCAAAAGGGGTCATTTACTAGTTTTGACCAGTCAACGTGTGAAAATGAAGATTTTGCGATGAATTGTAACCAAGATAATTAGCGGAAACCATTGTGACATTTGAGGCCCTTGTGACCTTGACCTTTGACCTAGTGATCCCAAAATCTATAGGGTTCATCTGCTAGATATGTCCAATCAA